GTTGGCTGTGGTTGCTGCGAGCTGACAGCTCAATGTGGTGTTGCCACATAGTGAGGGTTTCGTAGTTGACTACAATTTGTGACCTTTTTAATTAAAACTAAACTCCAAAAAATTTGATCAACAACGAAATAATTATATGATATACCATAAATGAAAAAAAAAGATAATAAAACGAAATTTAATAAAACAAAATAAAATAATTTTTATGTTAAAAAAAAAACTTTTTGGAATCGCCATAAAATGCATTTTAAGTTGACTATGAAAGAGTTAAAATGGTGATTACAATAAAACACAATTTTAATTCTTTTCTAACTTCTCTATGACTACGGGCCAATGTGTTTTAACTCTACTCCTTCATTTGATACCCATACTGTTTTTAAGTATATTGCATTCATTTTTTGAATTACTCATATCTTTCAAATTTCAAAGTTCTTTTAAAAAATCCTAACGTCAAAGAGAAAAATTAAGAACGCAATTTTAATATATTTGGCCCTTGGTTTGGCGAATATATTGATTTTTTTTTGTGTGTAAAATTGCCTGCCGCAAGGTGTTATATGTATATTGAGCTACACATTTATAAAAAAAATTTAAATATGAAATAAACAAAAGAAGTATAGCCAAAACTATTCAACATAAAGCGTTTCTATAATTGCCACCAGTGTAAATTAAAAATCCCGAAAATCCCAGAATTCTAGGCAAATAATACCAGGATTTTCGAGACTTAAGAGCCTGTCAGACGTGGCAATTTTATTTCGATGTGTGAACAGCCAGAAAGATCTTTCTGTCACTTTTCGGAAATCAGTTTTAGAAATAAAAGTTGCAAGGTGTGACGACTGCAACTGCAAGAGCGAAAATCGATTTCGGAAATATATTTCAACTTGCTTGTGCTGCACTAGCAATTTTTCTTTCTTCTGCAAGTGCTGTCAAACTAATCGAGTGTTGCCGTGTGGCACTGATCGAGAATTTGTGTAAAATGATAAAAAATATTGTTGAATTAAATGTCAAAAATGCTTGAAATATATTATTTTGCTTAATATACTTAATCGTTAAATTATTGTTCACACGGCAAATATGTTAATTATAACCTATATTTCTGTGGTCGTAAGCAATAACCGCCTAAGTCGACTTAAGAAAGAATTGAGTTATATATGCTATCGTTTTCTGCAACTCGTTACCTATTCTATTTAAAAAGTTATAAATGAAAGTCTTTTAGTTTCCCCATAAGGTTAACATTACAACCCAAAGCTTTAAATCGCTTTTCTCGAATTCAGGTTTTTCGACTTAGGCGATTATTGCTTATGACCACAGATTTTGCGTTTTCGTTCTCGCTTTTACAAGAGAAATAGCAAACAAACCAAGAATGATAGAATACATTGTTCGCTGCACCATGCGACAACCCCACCGCCCATGGTTGCATTTTAGTATCGAGAAAGATTGCCAGAAACTCATTCGCTGTGTGAACAGCCAAAAAGCGATTTCAGAAATTTGTTCTGCAATTCGCCTTTCGGAAATAAAAACCTCTTTCGAAAGATACTTTCCATGCAAGGTGTGACTGATTTCTCAATTTGACAGCCTTTCCGAAATTTATTGCATCAAAATATATATTGCCACGTCTGACACGCTCTTAAAAAAAGACCGGGATCTCGGGATCCCGGGATATACACGCAACACACTTTAGTATCGATACGAACAACAGTTTCGTTACCGCTTAATATGTTGTGTTGTATTGATTCACGTTAATGGTGCATATACGGAACATGCGAGTAACGAGATTACTATGTGAGTAGCGATTCGGCATTTCGAGTCAGGGGTTGTATTCGTTACTCAGTAACGAAAAATGAAAATATGTGCATACCTGGGTTGTGATTTTTTAGTAACTACTTAGGTTAAGCTTGTGTTGCGGGTTTTGGCAAAAATATCGTTTAAAAAATTTCCAGAATACGAGAATGTAAAAAACATTCCAACTTATTTGGATTCATACATTATTTTGAGAGTAAATTAGTAAATGTTTGATGGTTTATTTTCGATTATTTTGAAAAATTAATCGGTTAGTCGCTCGATTAATCGAATGGAAAATTTCGATACAATTAAATCCTTAACCGAATGAAAATAGTATTATAATCGGTTATTCGATTAATCGTGCCATCACTACAAAACACCCGCTGAAACAGGAAAGTGTTGGTAAATATACGCTGCCGAAATATCATTTATTAAATGGTGTTTTATCAAATGCACATTAAAAGTGACCACAAGCGATAAAACAATAAAATAGGAAAAACCAAAACTATCAAAAACTATCGATGGTGGTACGATAATCAAAAACCATTGATAGTATCGATAGTGCCATCGATAGTTTCAGACCACTAGATGTAAGAGCTCGCTTCAGTGATGTTGACGATTTAATATCGAATGGGAAAAAAATATTTTTAAAATCTGCTTTGCGCGTTGAAGCTTTTAAGAACATGTATCAAAATATCGCTCTTCCGGCACAGCTAATATTTTGAAAGAAGGCCGAAAATGCTCGAAGAAAACTATATTTTCCAATTTTTTAGCCTGGTGGATTCCGCGCCAAAAAATTGTTTGATATTTTGGACTGTTACATTTCATTGTAAAAAATACTGCCGAATTTGTTTTCATATAAAAAACGAATCACTGATTTTTTTGTCGAAAACTTTCTTTATTAACTTCAAAGTAAAACAAGGCAAGCGAAGAGAGGCAAGTATAATGCAAAAAAGTGGTGGTCCTTAAATTTAAACTACCCTTTCATTTCATGATGTGCTTTTTAATTTTCATTAATTAAAAGGTATCTCAGGATTAAGTGAATTTTTATGTTTGAGAGAAGGAGACTCGTGTTAATATTAAACTTGTCCGACACCTTAGAATATGTTTGACCCAGATATAATAAAAAATCTGCGAAACCTGAGAAAAAGATTGTTTACCCTTGGTTTCGTTTTCGGCGATTTGGGCCATATACATATATCGTCACCTGAAATGCAAAAAGACGTAACAACATCGTAAATGAAATGGAAAAAGTCGTGACTAATATTTTAATTTTTTTTGTAATTCGATGAAATCCATCATATAAATCGAAAAGTGAATTTAGAATTTTTTATTAGTTATGACTTTTTGCATTTTAATGATGATGTTTGTTACGTCTTTTTTGCATTTCAAGTGACGATATGCATATATATGAATGAAAACAAATAACTTCAAAATAAACTTTAAGGTCGGGTAACAATTAAATAAATGCATTAACGAAATTTGATTTTGGCTTTTTTAGAGCCAACCAAGGACGAAAATTGTATGCCAAAACTCTCCAAAGAAACGTATATATTATGTAGTTGTATTCTGATGTGATTCTATGTAAATCAGTAAATATGAATGAACATTTGGATAAATTCACACAGTAAATACATAACACAAAGTTTTAGTTGCATATGCTTACATATATAGTAGGTACATATCCAAATAAGTGTACGAAGGTACATATCTATCTACTTATGAGTTGTATATATGTACATATTTATGGATCCATCGGTATGTACATACATATGGATGTGTACATACATATATGTGTGTGTGCATATATATTTGTGTTTATGCATATGTATATAATTAAATGGTCTGCTATTGTCAAAAAATCTTCAAAATAACTGAAGAATTGAATGAAAAGAGCAAAATGAAATATGAAGAGCAGATACATTTCGAAAACAAATCTTCTGCTCAGCTATTTCGAATTTCTAAAAATAAACTCACCTTGAAAAGTTTTCGATATATCTGCTGCTACTACTACGGCTGTATATATTTTTAATTTGTCAGAATATATAGATTCTGAGATTTTACGCTTTAATGCGCCACAGATACTAGGACAATTTGTTAAAAAGATGCCGCCGCCGCTGCTGCTACTTCTGTTTCGCTAAATTTAAAGATGTTGCTGTGGAAAATTTGGCACCACTGTTCTCTGAAAAATCCGTTAAATATTATATTTTACCTCCTCTTCATGTATTATTTGGATATTTTACATATTTGCTTTACAATATTGATTTAAAATTTGCCTTGAATTTTTAACGGGTGCATATAAAATTTGTAATTTTTAGGACACTATTTCGCTTCGATTTCTTTTTTATTTTGCTTGTATTTTGGTTGCAACACAATTTTTTTCACAAAGCACATGAACTAGTTTGCAAAAAATTAAATACAGTCTATAGGTATTGTATTTATATACATATGTAAAACTATAATCCCCTATGAACATTTAAAATTTCTCATGTAAGCCGATTTTATTTAGTTTCATTTACGAACTTTTTCGCTTTTCTCCTTAGTCTCGTTATTTTCGTTAAGTCCCAAAATAGGTGTAATTGTAGTCTGCTTTAGTCGTTTTGACTAGATCAGAATGTTTATTTCGGTTCTTTCGAAGTTAGAAGACGACGTTGACTAGGCGACGATTTTCTCTCAACTAAAGAAAATTCGTGAAAACCACTGTGAAAAGTCTCAAAACACATTGCGCGACGTTTCTCGCATCAGTCGTTGCATTTCCTCTACCTTCGCACCGAAGATATTTTCCATACAGTATGTGTGCCACAGAGCCAATAAGCGTTCATTCTGCTAAAATAATGATTCGTTAACACAGTTGAACACACTAATGTTTACATACATTATACATTAGTCATATGACCCGTTTCTAAAAGTAAATACAGTTAAGAATGAAAAATTATGAAAAACCAACAAAAATTACGTTTTTTGGTTGGTTATTTTTTTAACAAGCGGCAAGCGTGATAGAAATCATCAATAAAAGTGGTACCTTTTTTCGAGTTACAAAGCGTTTTAGAGCGCGCGAGATCAATCGTTCGTGCACAAATCTATTATTTGTTATACTTTTCAACTAGGGATGTCGAAAACACATCGATGCATCGAAAATATCGATGTTTTGCTTCGATGCATCGAAAATTTACCACTCGATGTATAAATAGTCGATGCGTCGAGACATCTCTAGTGCATCGAACGCCCAAACATCGCTTTGTCTGAAATTCAAAGAAAGCAAGCTGCAGTTTTACAGCTCATAAAATTTTAGAATAATAAAGGGCAAGTTTCAATTGCTTTTATTTGTAATCTTTTTTCTTTTACTTACTTGCACTTTAATAGACAAAATTTTTATGAGCTATAAAACTGCATACTAAAATGTTCTAAACACTAATATTAAAATGTTAAAAAATTAATGAAAATTTGTTGAATTTTATATAAAGTTTGAAACATTGTTACATGGTTTGGTTAAAGCATGAGCACTATTTTTCTAAAAAATAACAAAAAATGTTAACTTAAAAAACGTATTGAATAATTAAATAAAAGAAATCTACACGTGAACACTTCTTTGAGTCGCTACTACTCTATACTTAAAATCAAAATAAAAGTTTGTTAAATTGTTTCAAATTGTATTTGTTTTATTTCCATAGTGAAGGAAAAATCTATATGTATCGATGCATCGATGTACGTCGTCCGATGCATCAACAAGTATCGATGCAAGTTTCGATGCATCGACTTGAGGAAAAACAACGATGTATTTTTGCCATTGACATCCCCATTTTGAACTATTTGATGTTTAAATCTGAAAATCTTCAAGACATCTTCAGATATACGACTATAATAATAATAATAGATTGGCGCTTACAAATATATTATGGTTTGGCCGAGCTTCTCCTCCGAATTGAGGATTTACAGATTTACGCCGACTCCGAACGGCGATTGTATTTTTAAGAGAAGCTTTTTTCATGGCAGAAATACACTCGGAGGTTTGCCATTGCCTGCCGAGGGGCGATCGCTTTTAATAAAAAAAACACCTTTTTTCTATATTTTTTTTGATGTTGCTTTGACCAGGTCTTGAAGCCAGGAGCTGCGGAGTGGTAGCATGCGCTGCTAACCTCTACATCACAGTGGCCGCCGTCTATAATGCCGCATTAAAAAAGAAGTTAGATGTGAAACCTTATAAAAAGGGTTTTAAATTGGAAAAATCAGCCCTTTAATTTTTAGAGATTTTTTTATAAATATCCATTTTTTAATACGTATTAAGAAGTGTTGTTAAACTTAAGTTCATTGCAATAATCCGTGCTTTATTGTGTAAATTTCAAAACGACTGTTACTTCATGCATGCGAACGGGCTGATGTGACGCGAGGGAGCGCCGCGACTGATCTCGCGCGCTTCATAACTCTGAAAACTGAAAAACTTCATTTTTCGATTGAGATGACTTAAGAAAAATAATTAAAATCAACATATAATCATTATTTAAAAATAATAATTATTTTTTGTCAATGTTATTGTGGCTTGTTAACATTTTATTTTTAATATTTT